ATAATTTAACCCTCTACGGGCCGAATTTTTGTTCACGATTATAACAGAATCTATGGAGTACAAGATTAATAAATACCCACATATGAATACGAATTAACAATGTATTCGATAGTTTCCATAATTTCATCAAACGAACATATTTCGTAACTTTCGAGTTACAGTGACGTTAAACTTTCACGCCAGAGCGTATGAAAGTTGCAGTTCACCGATTACTTCATTTTATTCGCCACTTTCAGTGCAAAATGAAATAAATCAACAAGATGCCAATATACTGATACGTGACTTCAAAGTTACATGGGCTCACGTAGGGTTAATCGGTAAATTAAAGGACAAAACTATTTTACTTTGATATTTCACATGGTGACTATTCTTCGCGAAACAATCACAGTTACGATATGTACAAAGTTTAACACTTCAAATTTCTCGCAATACTTCCCATATGTTTTGGAAAACTGAGAAGAGCCAAGTTGATAAGGTCATTAACGTATGTTCAAAGCTACACGATTTTAAGATGCAGAATATGCGAAATGAAGAAAATATTAAATTATTCAATTGAATCGCGTTAGTATCGTAGATTTGTCTTGCTCTACACCGAATTAGCGTTATTACAATATAGGAATGTTTTCAAATAACCATCGTTTAATTGATGGAATTATAGTAGCACGGCATTCAGCGTGTTAACACGTTTACAGAACGCGTCAAATTGATTTGATATTGGATATTGGATTTTATTACCTACTATCAAATCTCCAGCTTCCACAATCTAAATAAACGAGCATCGATTCTTTTAGTAATAATAGAATGAAGACAATAAATGCCCGTAAACCTAGTGTTAAGTTTACTTCGAAAGTTTTGTTCCTAGAAATTTGTATTACTCTAAACTTCGGCAGTTTTTCACCAAGAATATTTATTTTCATTAGTTTAAACCGCTCGGATCGATCACATAGCGATTGAATATTGCGACTCCGCTGTAAACGTACCCTAAAGGGAATGTCCGCGCGTTTAACTGGTGGCTGCCGGGTGAAAGCTCCCGGGATCCCGCGAAAGAAAATCTGGTCGTCGCCGTTGTTGTCGTTCCCCGTCGTTTTTTCCTGCCGGTGACCACACACTTTCCCCGCGTTCCGCAACGGAAACGTCCAATCGAATCCGCAGATCTGCTCGCCGCTGAACAGTTTTTGTCTCGCCTCTCGCGTGTAATCCCACGGCGCGATTAATTAATAGCCTGTTCCACTTTATTGTATTCGAAAAATCGGAACCGCTTCGCAGCCTCTCGGCGTCTCGAGCGTATAGTGTAACACGAACGAGAGATTACTCGTTTCTATTTCCGTTTAATAGGTTTCCACGAGCAATGAGAGGCAGCCTCCTTTCGAAGAATGCACGGTTCCGTCGATTTCAAAATGATCGCCGGATTAATCATACACGCGATGTTTTAGACGAAACGGTACAAGGAACGCTTCAAACCGCATGCCTTTTTACGTCATACTCAATTCATCTGAACAGTTTAATCAATTCTGAACTCCTCAGAGTCTAATCAGGACGATGTTAACGAACAAAACTTACGAAATCCCATTCCTTTGTATGTCGTATTCAATTTCTTTAAACAGTTTAACACGTTGAACGCTGCACGATTTCATAGAGCAAAGTACACAAAATGGAAATACAATATTAAATCATTTGACTGAATTGGATTATTATCATTGTACGTTCATCAAACTGAATGTCGCCGCAATGGATAGCTTTATTTATGATATAGAAATGTTTGCGAATAATCATCGTTTAATTGAGTGAATTATAGTAATTCGGTGTGCTTGGGGGTCACTGGTGACCCCCATGGCATTCAACGTGTTAATCAAAAATTCATTCGATCGAGGAAAACCAGAGTGTTGTTAAATTTTTTTGAATTCCTCAAAGTCTAATTAGGACGATGTTAAACACTGCGTATATTAGCCGGTACGGCTAATTTTCAGAAAACTGAATTGTGATGGCAATTTTCGCTGAGGTCAACTTATATCATTATACATAGAAAAACTCAGATATCATATTGTTATGTAATATATTTTAAATAGATAATCAATTCGAATTAACTTTTATATATTTTTCAATGGTAATTAGCGAAGTTGCACAGCTAAGTGTCTCTATATAAAAACGATTTCTCGTTATCAATGATTACTAAACAGAAAAATCGAAAGTCATTTTGACTGGTAGGGTAGTTCTAGTGTTAAATAATAGAAAAACTAGAAAGTAGGTGCTGACTCTTGCTATTTGAATAATTAAATCATTTGTTGGCGACTTAGTCTTCAAAACATCAACATTTCATCTGAAATGCCGACATTCGTCCGCAAAGGGTTAATGTACGAACAAAACTTCCCCTATGAATTTACCAAAGATCTAAATCAACGAAAGAAAACATCCCTAATTTATCTCCAATCGCATTTCACATTTTATCATCCCCGTCGTTCAAGTTTCCTGGGAAAACCGCTTCGCCCGTGAACCGCAAATCACAGACGGAGGATAATACGCTTCACGCGCTCGAGCGACAATCAATTTCCCGGCTCGAGCCAAGTCTCCACCCCCCGCATTATCCAGCAGCGAGCGTGCACGCGATAATCGGCGTCGGTAGCGGAATATTAGGGGACCGGAAGTCGTTATCACTCCGCCGGCGGGGCCGTTCGTTTCGTCGCGCCGCCCACGGCCGTGACCTTCGATCCGCGTCGAAAACGCGGCCAGGATCGAAAACGCGGGAAAGGAACGGGGCGGTGACGAGCGCGCGAAACATGTCCGCGATCGAGGTCAACCGCGATTTATATATAGTGCATCGGGTTACCTAATCTTTATTTTCAGTGAAATCCCACGCGGCGGGGGGCGGAGGGGGCCGGGAGCAACCGAGTGATCGATAGACTGCGGATTTCTATGCAAATTAGAGATTTTATGGACATCGTTTGGGAAACAGAATTATCATCGCGAGTGGTTTTTCCTGGTGAACATTGTAAGAATGTTGTAAAGATATTATAAGGAAATATATAAAACGGAGAACGTTATAGACGTTGCAAAGAACATTGCAGGAAAATTTTATGGAACAACGTAAGAAGACATTGAAAGAACGCTATATTTTGATTATTTCGTATATTTTCTTCTTTAATGATGAAATTTTTTACTCTCAAATTTTCCAGGGAACGATAGACTACGGATTTCCATGCAAATTCGACTATTTATGAACATCATTTGAGAAACAGAATTACAATGGCGAATGGTTTTTCCTAACAGATATTGCAAGAACATTACAAAATCATTGCAAAAGTCCGTTCCGTATATTTTCTTGCGTAACGATCATTCAGTTCAATTCTGCACTCTCAAATTTTCCAGCGATCGATTGACTACGGATTTCTAAGCAAATTCGACTATTCATGATCATCATTTGAAAAACACAATTACAATGGCGAATGATTTTTCCTAACAGACATTGCAAGAACATTACAAAACCGTTGCAAAAGACCGTTCCGTATATCTTCTTGCGTAACGACCATTCAGTACAATTCTGCACTCTCAAATTTTCCAGCGATCGATCCCGCGGACCTACATTCCTCGGTCTAAATTTTCCGCGGCCGGTTATTGTTCCAGGGTCCGCGTCGATATTTCGGAAAACGGGCCACCGGGCAAATCCCGCCGATACCGGGGCAAATCGAACCCGAAAATAGACGGGCCGCGCGTCTTTCGAACAAAGACGACCGAGCGCGTCCCCGAGGCGACAAAGAGACGATCCTCCGGAATTCTAACGGAGGCGCGTGCGCGCGCGCGAGTTTCAGGGATGATTCAGCTCGAAGGATTTATGACACTCGGTGTCGAGGTCTTCCGAAGCTCCTGCGGTTCGTAAATCTTCACGTTGGCGTCGAATATAAGAGAGTGTGTAATGGTGCTTTTTGGTGATTAACAATTGTTTCGAGAATTTTCGGTGGGTGGCTGGAATGTGGGATCATTCAAGTGGGAAACGCTTTTTGCATTCGGTTGGCTTGTGTTTCGTTATCAACCCTTTGCACTCGAGGGCTCTGGAGCCATTTAAAATTTGTCATTAAATATATCATAACATTTGTATCTATAATCGATAAAAAACAGTAAAGTACATCTATGACTTTTGTTTTCATGCACATATCATTTATTTATAAGTCCATATGCTTTTCCTATTAAAATTATCAACCCTTTGCACTCGAGGGCTCTGGAGCAGAGCCATTTAAAATTTGTCATTAAATATATCATAACATTTGTATGTATAATCAATAAAAAACAGTAAAGTACATCTATGACTTTTGTTTTCATGCACATATCATTTATTTATAAGTTCATATGCTTTTTTCTATTAAAATTCGAGTCGCTGGTAATGTCACTGAGAAAGAGGAGTGGTTTAGATGGTCCAGTGTTTTTGGAACACTCTGTACACGATTGTACGTGTGGTAACATGAAAATTGAGATATAAAGTTTCGCCAGTATCGTATCGGAAAACGTTGAATATTTCTAGTGAAAAATTTTCACGTGCAAAGGGTTAACCCTTTGACTCTCACCACTTGATTCGACGCAGTAAAACTATAAAATTTGATATTTAATATCGAACTACGTACAACATCGGTGTGTGAAATATTGGGATAAAAAAGCTGTTTCCCAATTCACTTGTGATTTCTCTTTGAGTTCCTTAAAAAAACATCGTCTAGTTAGAAGATGTTAAACACATCCAGCGAAATACTTCCGAGTGCAAAGGGTTAAGGCTCTCTTCGCCTGTGTTCCTCTCTCTTTCCTCGGAATAGGGGCGCGCGCGAGGAAGGTCAGTTCGAGCGTCGACGGTGACGTCGACGGCTCGAGCGATCGGTGTGACGCGATATTGCAAGAGGAAGAATTGAGTAAACAGTTTCGCTGGAAGTATTACTCTGCAGTAACAATGACATATTATTTAACGTTCCCTAGAAAGTTATAATCCGTAGTATGTACTTTCAAGTGAAATGTTTGATACTCACATTTCCATTGCGTCTGCATCGTTCAAACCCGGCGAAGCGTTTGCAGAAAACAGTGACCTCGTTCAACCTAAAAAGTGACATAACATTCTCGTGTCAACTGCAATCGCGTTTATTATTAAACATATCCGAGAATTTATTCTTAAGCCCTCAAAGCAAGTTCTAACAATACATCTGGACCGGCCATTGCGTTACAACGGTGTCGTTATTTATGAATTAACATCTCTCCGCTTCGTTTTCCCTGTCACTGTCAAGAAAGGTTGGAGCGTCGGCTCCAAAATGGCACGTCTATATAAAGATACGAACGGATCGGTATCGTCAGAAATACTGTTCGGCAATCAATCCACTAAACGAACCGAAACTGTTGAATGCCTACGAAATAACCGAATTAACCAGTCAGCTGGACCTTTCACCGCTGAATTATATATAGAATTTCAATTATACACTTCGCCCGCTAACTTTATCCCACGATTTGACGAAGAGGAGTCGCCGGAGAAGAGGAACAAATAAACAATGGGTCAGTTACGCAAAGCTAGTTAAATTCCTGCTGACTAATCCGTGTTGGCCACTTTCCTCCCGGCCATCGGCATTCTCGAGGGTATACGTGTACCGGAGGAACACGTAATCGTCCAAAAGATAAATCGATAGAGGTTTATAAAGAGTCACGTGCTTCCCGAATGCTTCGGCGAATATCGCGAGCGTGATCTCCGAATCGCGAGGATCTTTAATGTCGCGCACTTTGGACCTATTATCTGCGAGCGCGGACACGGGAACACCTGTATCGGCTCTGAGATTGGGATCGAAGGAGGATAAACAGTAATTAATCGCGATCGACAGCGATTACCGCAGCCGCGGACAAGCAACTGGTTTTCGGTGAAGCTGCGGGTACTCGTTCAACCGCCGCTCGTCTCACTTTTATCGTACCTCGACCCGAATATCTGCCGTGTCTCTATTATCTAATCTGTTTGAACAGCTCCGCATTATGTAATCACCGGTTTCGTAATCGCGTAACAAGCGCCACGTGAAAATTCGATCCGCAGATCGCTGAACGTACCCCGAATTCGTTTGATATTCGTTGCACTCGTCGAACATTTTGGTTGGAATTTTTCTGAGACCGTCTGGAGAAGCTAGGGTTATTGAAGATTCAGTTAATTAGGCGATCGACACTTTAGCTGGTGAGTTTTATGCAATAAGTTTCCGTGAAGCGATCATTTGTTATTCCCTGGTCGGTTTTTCTGAAGCTTAGACACTCTGATGTACTTAGCAACCGGAATATAGAGAAATATGTTTCATTCAGATATTAACAGTTAGAACATAATGTTAGCTGCTTTATAGACTTACCCTTAAAGACAACTGATTAGACTCTATTCTCTATCACCTCAACCAATACAGAAAATTCATTGATTAACGTGAAAATCTATTAAAGTTTACTTTTCGGCCACCTAAGCTTTCCATTAACAACGATGTATCGCCTATAGCTGTCCAATGCTCGCGAATGTAAATTACTGCAATGACCTATATTCCTAATATACATAACAAAACAATATAACAATTTCATTCGGAAACTATGAAATCTCGATCGAACTCCCCAAGAATCAACTAACAACAACGATCCTTTTATCGTCCACTCTCTCAAAGTGAGCGTCGATAACCCCGTGTTACACTCTACAGGTAACTAAATAGAAGCGAATCACGTAAAGCAAACGAATTGCGCAGCTATGACACAAGTGAACGAGTAGCCTCGAATGATTTCGTTGCCGACACATTAGCACTAGAACTACCGAGCGTTTGATGCGATTAATATACAATTCCTATAAAGATTGTAACAATAGATTATCTTCAGTTTCTTCAGACTGATGTATAAAATACATTATAGTATTTAAGTGAAACTATTTATTTTCAAAATCATTTCGAATATTCAATGCTTCGAAGATATCAACAATTGCGAAACAGAAAAACTGAAACCAGTCATTTCGACTGTTACGTAGTTCCAGTGTCAACGATAGAACTACCGTGCATTTATTGGGGTTCACGTGTAAGTGATACTATTTATTTTGAAAATCATCACGGATATCGAGTGCTTCGAAGATATCGATAATTACGAAACAGAAAAACTGAAACCAGTCATTTCGACTGTTACGTAGTTCCAGTGTTAGGAGATGGCCCCAGGTGTGCTGGCGTCTAACACTTAGGAGGTAACGAGGATAATTCAAGCGACAGGCGAAATACAGGCCACGATTAGAAAGGCTGGCTGAGTTGATGGCGCGCGCGGAACAACATTGTACGGGCCGCGCTTCGTTGCTCTTTCGCGCGTCGTTCCGCCGACGGGTCTAGTTTTCAGCGAAGTAGGCCTCGTCGCTGCCTACTATCGTGCCACTTGACCCCGATACACCGCCGTGCCAGTTCTCTTTCGCCGGCATCCTTCGTCCTTTCCCTCCCCACCACCTAGGGAATTTCGCTAGCCCCAGAATATCGAGAACCTCGTTTGTTCCCGTTTCTCCCCGTGATCGTCGCGCGTCTTCGCCGGTCCCGGGTCACTTTCGACCCACGCTGTGAACGTCTGCGAACGAAACCCTGAAATTCGACTGATCGGATGAGTATCGAAGGTTAGCGATGTGTGAACGCACTGCCATGAGAATTTTGGGCATTCTATACGATATTCCTTATTTTTTTATAATGTAGGAGAAAGAGAATTTTATTTGAAACAGTATAATTATTTCATCACAGCTCACGATAAAACACTAACTAAATTAAACAACGCACACACTATTTATATACTCAGATCCTCTTGTCTCACTCACACACTTTCTAGAACATTCTTTCATCGCCATGCATTAACTTCACATATATTTGGAATATTCTAGATTCTTGAAAGAAAGAACTCGGTTTATTTAAATAACGTCGGAATCGAAACGAGTATCCATTGTTACTGAAGAATCTTCGTAACATCTCCGTAATGTAAACGAAATATAACCAGTGAATTAATAAGTGAAAATTCCTGTAAACTTATCAGAGAAAGATTCCACAATGTGAGAAGTAGAAACGGAATACCATGATCAGACACGCTATTTTACGTTAAAATAGTATCACTGAAACTACTGAACTTGTCTAAAAATCTCAAATGAAACTAACTTAACCAAAAGCTAAGATTTTCCATGGGGTTTATTAATTATTCGAAGCATCACCGACGCAACGATACGAAATTTCAATGGAGAAATCGGCTCTAAAACACACTCCAACGATCACATAAATTTGATCCAAGAAACCACCCACTCATGCAACTATATTCCACAATACGAGAAACTCTACAACAACCTCGTTGCGACACGCAATAAACAAATACTTGTCATTATTCGCAAACCACAATATTCCCTCGCTCTGTCAAACGGCGAACGCGCGGTGCTCGTGCGCAACGCCGCAACCAACGCGCGCGATCCTATATTTAGAAGCGTCGGTAAAAACAATGATTTCCCGAATAAAAGTCGGGATTTTTCATCGGCGGCCGCCGATTCGCCCACCGATGCCCATCCACGGCGGGACAGAGTTTCCCAAGTAAGGCTAACGAATCTCCGCTGGGTTCCGCGGCATTGTTCCCCGAATCGGTGCATCCGATGCGCCCGGCGAGTGCATAAATGGCGAACGATCCCCGGATCGCCGCTCCAGGTGGACAATGTCGGCCTCGCCCACGCGCGGTTTCCCTCGGCTCTTACCGGTAGCGAAATTTCTCCTCGCGCGCTCGCGCCAAGTGCATTCCCACGTTTCGACGCGATAAAGGTCTAGGTTGCCCCTCCGCCGTGCGCAACTTACGATCTGGACCCGGGGAATCATTTTTCTATCTCGCTTCGGGGGATCGGACGTCGCTCGTCGCGGATGCTCGATAATACATGAAAATGTTCTTTATGGAAAGTGTGTTACGTGGTTCGCGGCGATGACATAATACGCCGAGTCTGTTTTATGATTTTCATAGAAGATTGGGGATCGTTGCGAGCACGAGGTGACTCAGCCGCGAACCGAGTATCTTTGTCGTTTCTAATAATATCTGTACGGCGATAGTTGAATCTTTGACGAAGATTCTTTGGGATGTATAAAATTTTCAAAGGATGAAGCTGAATTTTGTATCGGTTGGATAATCGATGGAAAGAACTAGGCGCTGATCTGCTGTTTGATTGATTTAATATAGAAATCTCTTGAATTGTCGACTTTCAAAGGGTTAGAGCAATGACTAACACTGAAACTAGATGGGTCAAAATGAGTCACTCCTGATCTCTTACAATTATTATAAAGATAAGATGTTTCTCTGAGAAATTATTAAAGAAATTGATTAAACCATACGCAAACTGCATTGCGAATAAATTTAGTCTCGATGGATACACTTGGAGTTCCTACAGAGGAATTTCAAAGGGTCAATTTAACTCTTTGCACTCCGAAGTATTTCACTAGAAATATTTCAACATTTTCTGAGATGAAGACGATATTTTGTCAACTCGACGAGAAATTCACGTGAATTGACGGACAAAGCTATTTTATCAATATTTCTCAGATTGATGCATTATATGAAGTATAATATTGAACATCAAACTTTATAGCTTCACTGTAGGAAATCAAGTGGTGACTGAGAATCACCTCCCGAGTGCAAAGGGTTAACTGCTCGGTATGTTAAAGAATAATCAAATAAAATAGTCAAATAGCATAACTCCATTTTTTAAGTCTCCGCAATCTCCTTTCTTCCGAACGTTTCAAATCACCCAAATCATTAGCTTCCCATTGACCCACGTTCCTCTCCTCCATCCCCTAAGTAAACACTCGCGATGCATTCAACGGCGATTCCACTCTCGTTCCAATTAGAAATCAGCTTCGTCGTTATGAAACGCTTACGTATCCGCGCAGCCACGGTCGAGATTTCAAAGAATCCCCCGATTACGTTGCTGCGACCCGATTCGGGTTGGTGATTCCGACGGGATCGGCGTTCTCGAGGGCCGCCAGCCCATCGGAACCGAGGGGCCCGATGGCTCGCTAGATAAGCGCGGAACCGTGTAAATAGGAGGCACGCAACACGCACACGGCCGGGGC